CAATGATTGCTGTGGTCCCGAGTTGTTTCAGTGATTTCAAATCATTTTATATAGTAGACAATGTAAATCCGAACTAGTGAAATTCATCATGAAACATTGTCAATCACCTTCAAACAAATCATTATTATTTCCTTTTATCTCCCACACTGAGGCGGTCAGTTAGTGGTTCAGTGGACGTCCATTTTCTCGGTAGATTTAGGGTCTTAATCACAATTCAATGATTCCTACTTATCAGAGGACCCTAAATAATAATAATAAACGATCATGTGAGTAACTCCAGAAATCCCAAGTCAACTTGCCAAGTTTGGGTGTCACACCAATAGGTGGTTCCACTTATGTTTCGCTTGCATTTACGCAGCTATTTTTATCAAGTACTTTCTTGGTTTTTTCTCATTTTGTCTTCAATCGAGAGGACCGCCTGTCCGATATATAGCAAAGTCAAGCTTCAAATCAACCGCCAAATGAGAAATAGGGTCAGGTTTTATCTAGTCGCATTTTTGTGGTAAAAACTGCATAGAAAAATAGAAAGTGATTTCTCATCTAGCAATTGATATCCCAGCTTGGCTTTGCAACAACCTTTGTGGGATTCCCATATTTATCTTGCAGATCAAGGTTTGGGTTTTCTGTCGGTTACTAGATGGCGGCATCATAAGAGAGATGTATGTATGTAGATGCTTTCCTACAGGAATGTTGTTACTAAGAATGAACATTAAAAGTTTGACCTAGGGCATAAATAGGTGGTAATCCGGGCCTGATATTCAGTATTTTTCTTTGAATTTCTTGGTTTCAATTCCTAGTATGCATACGTCTTCCAACAGTTCAAAGAATGGTTTTTTAAAATTTCAAAAATACACCTATTTAATTTATTATTTCTTTGCTATTGAATTGTTGCCATTAAAAGCCCATTCGAAATTTGGTTGTTATAAGTTTATGGATTTTTAAAAAACAACATCATTAAAAATACTTAATTTAATGAATATTATGTTAGTGATTTCCTAATGTTTTTATTAATAATTTCACTGACATCTGCTTCACAAACATATTTACCTATATATTATCTGCCCATACAGAAAAAATTCAATTCTAAAATAAATAACCCGTCATATATTTATAGTATCCACAAAATGGCAAGTATTGTTTTATACAGTATTAGGAAACAGCAAAGAAGTTGTTCTTAGATCATTTCGATGAAATACTTTATACAAATGAAAAGTAATTTCAGTGTGAATTATAGTGTCACTGAGACAAATAAAGTATTTTTCAAAATTCTGTTTCAGTCACTACTTAATACAAATTTCTGTCTTGTAACCATATTTTTGTTCTCCGTTATTGTTCCGTTATATTGTTCTACAGATGCGCAGAAGAGCCACATATTATTAGTTTGTTGGAAATTAATACTTTGAATCTAGAAATTCAAACTTCAATCTTGAAGTTTCAACTTTCATCTCGAAATTTCGACTTTAATCTCGTATTTTCAAAATTACGCCTTTAATCAAGAAATTTCGACTTCAATCTCGAGTTTAAAGTCGTAACAACGAATTAAAAAGTCAAAATTTCAACTTAATAAGTCAAAATTTCGGGATTGAAGTCGAAATTTCGATGCAACTCTTCTGCGCTTCTGTATAATCACTATAAAAACAATTGAGGTAAAAACATACTATTTGTGGTCCATGTTATTATCATCTTTATATTCTCGCCCAGATATGAATTGTCAAACAAACTTTACTGTGGGTTATTTTAATACTAAATATAATGATCAAAAGCATCTGAAATTCAGAGCTTTAAACAATGAAGTATTTCTAGAGATAGTAATGCCCAATAATGCTAAAATATCTCACTTAAGCTAAATCATAACCTAATAAATCTTCTAACCCGTATCCAAACAATTTAAAATCAGGTTCATAAAGTTTATATAAAGCTTTAATGTCATGAATTGACAGTTGCTGGAAATAATATTTGAGCCTCTCTTTGGTGTGCCCATACCTAGTAACAGGAAAGGTAATTGGAGGCGCTCCTACCATATTCAAAATAGTTTTTGCGTCCTCTGAAATGGTTTCATAGTGTCCAATAAATGTATAGTTCAGAGAACATGGTAGACAGAGGTTATAGATAGGTGTCCAATGCTCGTTAGAAAAAGCACCCTCCTTCAGAAGATAAAGCACAAATTCTCGAAATGTTACGTTAGCTCCAGATTTGATATCTGATATAGTTGCATGGGGCCTATATTTTCTTATGATGTGTCGTCCGTACCTTGACTGAAAACAGAAGAGATATATTATTGTGAAACTGATTCGAACAGCCTGGCGGTTTAAAATGTCAGGTTACAGTATAATGAATGTTAATTTCTATAATATGATGAAAATTTCCTATTATTTTGTTACCTGGAAGTATTTAGAACTTGGCAAACTATCCATAAATTTATTTCTATATGCAGAGAGCAGTCGTTCAAAAGGATGCCTTGCTACCAGGAAAATAGTGTAATCTTTTAAACAAGACTGAGCTTGAGGTAAATCTAGTTGTGATAATTTCAGTGATGAATTTTCTGAGTGAGCTAGTGAAGCTGGAATATCAATAAGGTTTGTTGCATTGGATTCACCTGTCAAAACCATCAACACCTGAAATGGAATATTTCAGCATTGCAAAAATAACCAGTCAGCATTTGAAAAAGTAAAAAATATTTAACTTTTATCACATTTGAACAATTATGATCTGATGATGCACTGTTTGGAAGCTTTGATGTAGTAATGAATATTACTGGAGTTTCTTTCCCAACACCAAACCGTTATTTTCAACACCTCGACACGTGTTTCGTTCACCAAGTGATCATCTTCAAAAGGAAGATTAAACTAGAAACTAACGTCAAGCTAACGCTATATAGGTATACAATACAAGTAAACCCTACAGGTGTACCAACCATACAGGTATACCACCCTAAATTAATTTTACAATTTTGCCTTATCAATTTTTTTTGTTTTTTTTTTTATATGATAAGTCAAAATTGTAAAATTAATTTAGGGTGGTATACCTGTATGGGTGGTACACCTGTAAGGTGTACCTGTATGGATGGTACACCTGTAGGGTTTACCTGTATGGGATATCTATATAGCATAAATTGCGTTAGCTTCGCGTTAGTTTAGTTTAATCTTCCTCTTTGAAGATGATCACTTGGTGATCGAAACACGTGTCAAGGTGTTAAACATAACGATTTGGTATTGGGAAAGAAACTCCAGTAATATACATTAGAACAATATAAATTTTCTGTTATAGTTCAATCCCTAACTTACCCTTTTCCAGTTAGTACAAGCTACCTTGGGAACATAACAATATAATAGCTTATGTTTATGATCAACCAGAATATGATCTAAACTACTAGTGTTGAAACTTCTAGACATTTTGGATATATTATCACAACCAAGCATTAGTTGTTCTTGCCTAGAAATCTGTTCAAGCCATGGATATTGATATTTTCCTCCTTCGGGAACTGAAATATTTGTGATTTGAAACTCTTTGTAGTAGCAACCTAATTAGTCACTAAAATTATTATGAAAAGTTTACAATAGAGGCATACTTAAATCTACTGATATGTAACATTGAAAGCAAAGTTGGTTCCAAGCCGGAGGGAACCCCGTGGGCACAGAAGTTGACCAACTGTGCAGAATTTATGATGGACCCCCTTCCGTGTTTGCTTGACACATAATCTGAATGAGAGGGGGAGAAGTTAAACGTGTCAGTGTCCAAAAACACATAACTGATGAAAAAAAAACTCCTAAAACTGCAACACTATAGTTAAACTGTGTTGATCAGTTACTCTATAGGCATTTTTACATCTCTATAAACTTGAATAAACTTCAATTGATTTATTTTGATATGAGTATAAAATAAAAAGAAAAAACTATTTGTTTTGTCAATTATAAGACCAAGTTCAAAAAACAAAGACATTTTGTTATAAACAATGTTCATAATTTTTCTTGTTACGAATCACAAGTTAAAAGGTAAAACCTCGTTAATCCTTAGCTCGCACAAGTTTCTACTTCTGAGGGTTGTCGTTCGTAGGGGTGCGACAGCTGGGTAAAGGAAAAACATATTTCAAACAGATTTTTTTTTTTAATATATTGCTAATTTTTATTATATTGTTGATTTTTAGTATATTAGTTGAAATAAACAGAAAATATGAACTATATTAATTAACAAGAACAATAATTATGGAAAAAATATGCATAGCAAAATTTAAATAAAAATAACTTTTCTTGCCTTCTTTGTAGTAAACTCGTTAATAAGACGATGTACTCCATTAATAGAGTAATGGATGAGTGCTGAGGGTAAGAGTCTTTCAGGAGATACAGTCATCCTCGATAAGATAGCCTTTCTTGAGATACAGTAATCCTTAATAAGTATGTCTTTATTATTTTCAAATGAGAAGAGCTAACTCACAACACCAAAACAACAAAGAGTTAGAAATCCATTTTCCAATTTGTTGTTATGAAAAAATGTATGTCCGCAAATTGCCCTGCTCGACCCTGCTATGTGGTATCTATTGCCCTTTATGAGAGACAAAAGGGAGCCTAACCCAAAGGTGTTATACCACCAGATATCACCACAAAGCTTCTGGGATACTGGGCAACCTTTCGAAGTACCTCGCATCCATTCAGTTTTGGTATATGAGATATTTCCTCTCTATTTGGAGCTGTATTCCAAAGATGAAATTGTTACTACTTCGTAGTCAGTTAAAATGGCTTCAGTATCAGACAAAGGTTCCGTAAATTATGGAAAGTCAAAGAAATCAGTCGAATACCCTAAGGCTTAGTTGCATTGATAAGGAGTAGATAGGACAACCTGAACAAATGACAGTTGAATAGGGTCTAATGTCTTTTGTGGAATTAGCCAGGAAAGTAATTGTTTTTCAACAGACATTTATCGGTTCCTATTGCATAGCAACATTGGAAGACATGAATGTTTAGAGTTTTTATTTGAAATATTAATTTTCTTGACATATGTATTCCTCCTAGACACAGTCATCAGAGTGACTTGAATTCCGAACAATTTATGAGCATTTCCAATCATTCTGGTAGTAGAGTTTTCTCTTTCTTTATTCTTCATAATGTAACTTATATATCTGGTTTAAGAATTACATATTTTAATAGGTATTTATCTATAAACAAAATTTTACTTTTGTCAAGATTAGCTGAACTTAATGCTCATTCCAAAATAACACTATTGTTATTATGTATAATATATCTTACTTGCCGTTGGTATGATAAGTAGTGCTATCAGTGATCCAAATTTTATTTTAAAATATATATTAAACATTCTTAGTCAGCATGTCTCAGGGCGTGAAGATTCTTTCCTTAACCTTTTCACAAACCTGATTTCAGATTTATTGGCAATTCCTATAAAAATTCATATAGTTAGAAAGTAAGGTACAGACAATTAACTATTCACATACCATATTCAGAGACTTCTTTTTTGTCATTTCTCATAACAAGACCGTTCTGTACATTTTGAAGGTTAAATGTTCCCCACACATATTTCCAACTGATTTTAGTTTTTATTCTCTGTCGTTGTTGTTTCAAAGTGAAGGTTCGTGTAATGGCTTTTTTGAGGTCTAGTACTGTGGTGCCTTTGTGTGGAATCTATAAAATAAACCGTTAATAAATATCTATGTAACATCACACTATATAAGTTTAATATCAATGCAGTGGAACTGAATATATAAATTTACAATAAAGATGTAACACTAATTTTTGAGTAGCAACTTTCATAAGTAGAACAGTACCAAATATATTATCTCATTTACTTAATGGAGATTGTATTTTTGTCACAGTTGCCAAAAAATACATACAAAAACCCAAGGCGGACAATCTTTACAGTGTAAAGGAGCTAAAAAATGAAATTGTACTCATCCTATCATTTTTAAATCATGGTCATAAATGAAAATAGTTATCCATAAACTTCAGGTGATAAATTGACAAAAACATTTTCCTTCACAGCAGAACTGAGACACTTATTTCGAAGTGCGTACACCAACAGAGTTGAGATGAAAGTGGTTTTGTTGGAGCTGAACTTTTATAGGTTAATTTCTGATGGTGCTCAATTTGTTAGTGAAAACGCACATTGAGAAAAATGTATCAGTTCTAGTGTTGAATTCATTTTACACCTTTCTGCATTCAAAATGTTCAACCTAAAAAATGTAATAAAAAAAGAAAATTATGAAATAAAATTCATTTCATGGGACACCATCTTTCCAAAAATGAAATATGTGGCACTGTTTTGATCATTTATGTTATATTTCTAAAAGGTTAATTCAGTTTTGTTGTAGCTCGGAAGGGCATTACTAGTAAGACACTATCACACAACAGATTTTTTTCATTTTTTTAAACAAACTAGAAATCTCTCAATATGTCCAGGTACACAAAACTGAATTGAACATTGAGAAAGAAAATTAATTATCAAACCATCAGTAGAAGATTCAACATCATCAACATCAATATTTTTTTTCAACCTAAAACCTTGAAATTTCTCGACCACAGATCTTTGAAAACAAATGAGGAAAAATTGTTAAAATACGAGAACTCGGACTAGTCAGTCCTACTGTGAATTCCTTTGATTTAAAGTCGAAATAAACCAGGAATCAAACGTTTCAAGTCAATATCTTTATTTTATAACTTTCAAATTGTTGTCAATGTCAAAATCGTCTTTTTTAATAAACAAATCATGATCAATTATTTTAACATACCAAGTGAAAAAAAGTGAACAAAATTAATTAAAAGCAACAACATTCTCCTCCTTGTGATGAAATCACTGCATTTGTTGAAATAATATATATTTCAATGTTGTTTGTGATGAGTGTTCATGAGTCTGCTCAACATAACCGCGGCTTGTAACTCCAATCTGGGTATGGTCATCGGTTTCATAGGTGCCACTCTTGATTTAGCACTTACGAAAGATAATTTGAATTTTTCATCGTATTCATATCTCAGATAAACGACAGCTGGAAAGGCTTTCTCCTGCTGTCACAAAAACCATGTAGTTCAACTTGTTTGCTTTCATACAATCCGGTTCCATAGCATCTAGGTAAACTCGTTTCATTAATTTTTGTCAATTCGTCTAGGAGTTGTTTCCATCTTGTGTTCATTTCCGTGGATAACTCATCGTCTCAGCCTATTCTAATCCTCTATAAGTTCTGCTGAAAATTTTGAATTTTACAACCAGTGGGGACAAAAAACCTACCGGGTCAAATACAGACATGACCACCTCAAAACATCTCGTTTCTTGAGAATCTTAGTTCTGTTCAAGATTTTTGAGTCCAATTTCTGATGGTTCAGCGAAAAAGTAAAACTATCTGCTTCTGGATTCCACCAGAGTCCCAATACTCTCAAGTTTTTGAGTAAAACTAAGATTTTTCTGATTTGGTGATCGAAGATTCACAGGAATGTTGTCAATCACTTTCTGAGAATTACTTATCCAATTACGTATTTCAAATCCAGCTTTCTCGTGGATTTTTATAACTTCCAGAATCAGTTGAATTGCTTTTCCTTCTGTTTCTGCACTATCCAGGTAGTCATCTACATAATGTTTGTCGATTATTGCCCTGGCTGCTTCTGGAAATTTTGAAGAAAATTCTTCAGCGTTCCTATTTTTGACGAATTATGCCATCGAGGGAGAGGAAGTTGCTCCAAATGTCATTACCTTCATTTCATAAATATCAGGTTGTCTGGACCTATCCATTATTCGCCAGAAGAAGCGCTGGGCTGAGAAATCCTCTTCTCGAATGAAAACTTGCTGGAATATGACTTGAATATCTGAGGAAAATGCAATTCTCTTCTGTCGAAATTTCCACAAAATGATGTCAGATTTTGTAATAAGTCTGGACCTTGATCATTAAGACTGACCCCATTCGATTTTGCCGCTGCATCGAAGACCAGTCTCAATTTGCCCAGTTTAGAAGGATTATTTACCCCAAAGTGGGGTAAATACCAAGTTCTAGGACCACCTTTTTTCTGCTTCAGTAACATCAAGCTTCCGAATGTAACCTTTTGTCAAATATTCTTCAATTTTCTCGCCATACATTTTAGACGATTAAGTGCTTTACTATCAGGTAGTGTTACGTCATCATTCTTCCACAGTAGACCTATTTCGAAGTGATTTCCAACTCGACTAATGGTATTTTCCATTATTTTCAACGCCCAAGATCTTTAGATCTTCCATTTTCTTCCGGGCTTCTTATGCCAAAATTGTCAATTTTGAACAAGTCTCTCACTAGATTAATATCTTCATCAATTTGTTCTTGAGACTCACAACAAACGTGAAATATTAAACACGATTCATCAGCAACTTTTCCCTGGGGGTATCTGCCATGTACTACCCATCCTAGTAATGTTTTTGATACCAACGGTGCATTCCAGTAACTTTGATATGTTTTCCTTATAATAGTCAAAGCACATTGATCCTGACCAATAAGAATTGTTGGTTGTGCATCATAAAAGGAAAGTACAGGTGCTTCTATGATGTATGGATAGATTCTACTCAGGTATTCGACATCAATAGTTTGTCTTGGAAGTGAGAGTCCACTTACAGTTCAAACTTCATTCATTTTGAATGTTTTTGAGTTCTTTTCCATTGAAGATACTCTACTGTCACTCTTTTGGAGTTTTCTTCATTTTTGGTAACATTGTTAAGCCACTGGTAGCAGAGTGACTCAACCGGTCCATCCAGTCCTAATTCATGAACAATTTTGCTGTCTATCATTGTTGTTGTTGCTGCCTCGTCTGGTAGAGCAAAGGTAGAAAATTCTTTTTTAGGTTTTCGAAGTTTCACCGGAATTATTCGAAGAAGGATTGTGGGGTTATCTTGTTGGAAAAAATGTATTTTTTCAACTTGACTTTCCGGTCCGACATCTTCATTTGGGTTTGAATAAGAACTTGAGGCTTCGTTTTCCTTTTTTGTAAAATCAAGGTTATGTAATATGTTGCTGTGGAATTTTGGGCAATTTTCAATTCCACACTTTTTTTTTCAATTTACATGAGTAGATATTATGACCTCCTTTCAAACAGTAAAAACAGAGTTTCTTCAAAGTCACAATTTTCCATTTTTCATCGATATCTAGTTTTTTGAAAATTTGGCAGTCAGTCAAATTATGATTTTTTTTGACATTTGGGTCATTTCTCATATTATTTGGTCGAAAATATATTAGCATTTTTCCTGGAGTGGAATTTCTCATTTTCGTTCATTTTTCTTTCGGAGAATAGGTAACTACTGAAGTCAGCACAACTTTTTGCAGCTATTGCGATTTTTCTCATCCACACAGAAAAGGTTTTCAAAGTAATTTCTTTTTGTAAAGAAGATTCCTCGGCCCATTTGAGTCTCAGGAATGGGGGTAATTTAGTAACTATTTCATTCAAGATTGATGGATTTTTCATATGTCCTGTATTTTCAAAGAGTTCCTTCCATAGTGGTTACTAAGTTTTTGATAAAATTAGAAAATGGTAGGTGTTTCAAACCGTCCCTCCCTCGGAGGGAAGGCTCGACGAACTTTCTCTATTAGATTTGAAATTATAAATTCAGGTCGTCCAAATGTAACTTTCAAAGTTTCTATTATGTTCATAACATTATTTGGGGAAACAAGAAGAGGTTGTATTGTATCTCTAGCCCTTCCTTTTAAACATCTTTGTAGACGGACTATATTTTCATCTTCACATATATCAAAAAGTTTGGTGGAACGTTCGAACTGACTGTAGAACAAAGGCCAGTCCTCTGGATTCCCATCGAAAATCGACAAATTTGTCATTGTCTGTTTTTTCCGAACATTTTGATTTATTTATCTTCAGAACGTCTAAAATTTGGTTGAAATTAATAATAGTCATCGTAAAAAAATTGTTTGTCGGTACGAAATCGGTTTTATTTTCTGTTTCTTCGATTTTCCACTAAGCAACTTTTTCTTGTAGCGTCATTTCTTCCAAATCAATGATGTTTTTGCCTCTAGAGATTGTGGACTTTTTATATGAAGAATCTTGAATCAGTACACGTTGTAGTTGTGCTTCTTTCCTTATTAGTTCAGTATCAAATTCGGCTCTCCTTCTCTCAATTTCGGCTCTCCTTCTCTCTTCGGCCAATTTTCTTGTTTTTTCCAATTCTATTTCCAACATTCGTCGTCTAGAACTTGAAGATTTCGAAATTTTTGATTTGTCTTCGGCATTAGATGGGTTTTCTATTGAAGAACGTTTCTGCAACTCCGTAACTTGCTGTGGGTCATAACATAGGTCGCTATATCTTTCAGGAGGAACTCCTTTAGTTTTCTTCTCACTCCTCCTCAGGTTAGGCATGGACATATTGTAATTGATTACTTTTGGTTCTTTTTTCTTTTGCTCGAAGGACCAATGTTTGGACTAGTCAGTCCTACTGTGAATTCCTTTGATTTAAAGTCAAAATAAACCAGAAATCAAACGTTTCAAGTCAATATCTTTATTTTATAACTTTCAAATTATTGTCAATGTCAAAATCGTCTTTTAAACCATGATCAATTATTTCAACATACTAAGTGAAAAAAAGTGAACAAAATTAATTAAAAGCAACAACATACATAATCCCAATTTCAATTGCGATGCTTTACAAAACTGTGTCACAAGTTCTTATACCATCAGAGTTCATTTCTAAACAGATTTTGAACTTTCAATTCAGGGAAATAGTTATCACCACAGAACAGCTTTGGCTCCTGACACTGCCCAGATTGAACACAAAACTTTTCAAGAGAACATTCAGTTATCAAGTTTATAAGTTATATAATTCTCTTCCGAATGACAACAAGCTCCTAAGAATATCAAAATTCAAAGTATCATTGAGCAATTTCTTGTTTACAAATTGTCAATAGATTGAATAGGTACTTCATAAATAAGATTTTCATTCAAACTGCGTGTTCTTTTTAAGGTTACGTAGAAGAACAGATTGTTTTAAGCATCGCTTGCTGTGAAAAGACTGAATTTCGTTTTTTATTGAAAAAAAAATTACTCATTAGAATATGCTTTCACTATAATAAAAATAATAAAGAAGCATTATTATTATTATTATACAGTGAACAAATATATAGAAAACATATTCACAGTATCTCAGCCATTAGTACTTTCTCTATTTCACTCATGAATAAAAGTTTCAGATTCATTATTAGCGAATCATCAAAAAACTTTAGGTTAGCAAATAAGTTCTTCTTCTCCAAACATAGAAGATAAATGTGGTATTGGTAGGAGACCTGCAAGAAGAGGTAAATTTAAAAAAATCCATGGATGGTGGGCTCGTTAATGCAGTTTTACATGCTTTCTTTTTTGTTTAGAATCATATGGTTTTTCAATACACGACTTCAATATGTAGAACAATTGAAATCGTGAATACTCTGAAATCTGACTAAATCATGGAAAAACTAGCATTCATTTCATCCATTGGATTAATGGATCAAAGAGAGAATCCCACAAAGATATTACACATTAGACGGATGATAAATATCATCCATCATCAAAATAAAGATTATATCGATATTAGTAGCAAACTTATTATATGATAAAGATTGATTTCATTCTTCAAGTCATAGTGCTATCGTAAAATAGGGATTCAATTCTTTCATGCTATCACCAGAAGAGGATTTGTATTAATAATAGACAATTTCTACGTATTGAACTTTGAAATTTCAAAAGCTTTAAAAAGGGGGAGATATGTAAATTCACCAAGAAATGAGAATTTGTTTTAAGCTTGACTAGCTATAGATACATACATACATACATATATATAACGTCCATTAAAGAATGACAGTGCAATGACGAAATGACAATAAGAAAAGATAAAGAAGTTTAAATTATTGTTGAACTGTCTACTGAATGAGAAAAAATCAATAATTTAACTTACTACAACATGTAAGGATGATTCTGAATATCTTGTGACTATTACTGTAATGGATTGTCCCTGTGCCACAGCTATTTGAGCCAGTACTTCTTCAAGAGTGACATCCACAGGTAAATCGCTTAGCAAGGGATCGGCAGTGATTAATCTTCTTAAGCTACTCTGACTTATTTCCAAGATATCTTCATGTGAGAGTTTATCTATTTCCTCCTCTAAACTTGGTTTGTTTTCCTGTGCTACGTTTTCTTCCATTCTGAAGAAACCATCAAATATATTTTAAAGTAGAGATGACAAAATTATAAAAATGCTAGATTTGAACCTTTTAAACTACTATTCTTATTCCTACCCTATTTATCAACAAACGTAAACGTTTAGCATTTATTACCTGGTTCACCGTATTTCATTTGACAAATGAAATGTGCAATTTTATTCGGTGCAAAATTCGGCAACAAAATTCAGTGCAATTTTATTCGGAGTTTGAGTACACTACAGAATCTTTTTCTTAGTAATATGATATATTTGTGCTAGTAATTAAATAAATAGTAAGTATTCTACTTCAATCACTAAACAGTACACAACACAAACTACTACAGGTTTGTTCTGGTTCTAACATCCCAAAATCGACAGTTTCGGATGTTAAGTTAACTAACATCCCAAAACGTTTGGAAACTGCGCATGTGCGTACAAACAAAAAATATCAAACAGTCCGAAATAGTCTCGAACACTTGTTTAAACCAGAACACTTTTGAGGAGACCACTGTGCCACCTATCGTATATATGAAGAGATGAAGACGAGAAAATACTAATTATCATGTCCATTTTGTTATGTAGCGTATCCCTATAGTCAGTTGAAATGTCATCTACCCTCAATCATCAATTATTCAAATCAAATAAATAAAAAAACATCCTATACTGAAACCAATAATGATTGAGAGTAAAAGTAAGCCCAGTTGACAGCAAATCGGAGGCGTGCTTATTAATTTTTGAGAGGGTTAAGAATGAAAGAAAAATTCTTAGTACAATTAGTTAAAATATTCGTACACATTTTTTATTTATTTCATTAAAACTTTGCAATATCGTAATTTACCTAATCGTTGTAGTCATGGTGGTAACCTTAAAATTGTAATTCCACGACTTAACGCCATTTCATCCACTGCGATTTTTTTATATTTGTCTGTGTGTAATTTTGTTAGCTGAAGTAGTTCTGCCTTTAAACTATCTTTGTTATATTGGATGTTCTTATTAATTAACCATTCTTGAATTGCTGCTTTTTTCCATGATTGTTTCGGTAATGGTTCTAAATGTCGACTATGGTATGAGGCATTGATTTTTGTCATAAATAATACCTTTTAATCGTACTAGTATTGTGTATTATCTATAATTTGCCACAACCTACAACTCTACTGCTAACTATATTTTTATTCTGCTATAAACTGGTAACGTAAAATTTAGATATGACAACGCGGTTTACTCTCAATCATTATTGGTTTTACTATAGCAAATAGCCCAAACAAATTTCCACATGAAAATGCATGAGCAACGGGAACAGTTCTGAACAGTTCAGCCTCGAGAGCAAGAACGATTCGGGACGGTTCAAAACAGTTTAGGATCATTTCGCAGTCAAAACCAGAACAGAGGATTCATCAGTCCGAAATTATCCTCAATAAACTGACGTCCTAGAACCTGAATTTCGCAGAACCAGAACAAACCTAGGAGAGTAAGTGGTTTGTGGTTCACAATCATATATCCCACCACAAGTGTACCCAACTCCAACACAAAATGCCCTCTTCTTTTTTCTCAACTGACGTCCGAAACCAACGATTATGGACATACAGGATTGCTTACTTACATATATCGCCACGGTAAATAAGTGCCGAGCAGATGTGACGTAACACTGATGACACTTTTAGTAGCTGCCATAAGACCGTGCGTTATTTTAAAATTTTTTGAGGATTATTTTCGGACAGTATTACATTGTTTTTGTATATTTTGATTAAAATTTTATTTAACTATACCAATTAGGTTTCTGAAACATTGATTTTGTTATTGTGAAAGTCGTATTTTCTTGTGCTTTTGGACATTTTTTAAACTGGTGTAGCGAGTAGACGCTATATAAGACTCTGTTATTTTCCGTTTTGAGGTTTGTTTTTCGCCATTGTGGAACTTTTTTTTTGTTTTTTGAACATTTTCAAATTAAATTAAGGTAAAAATTGGAAATATTTACATTTTTGTAAGTAATAGCAATAATTGTCTAACCGTTAAATAACCTTGTAATTTTTAATTAAAATGTCTGGTCGTATAACTTGCAAAAACAATCAGTTGACTTTAAAGAAAAGTGGTGTTACTAATGTAATATTTCACTCTTTTCCTATTGCTAAGGATATGATTTCTACAACTTTGCAAAGAGAATGGATTCGTCGTTGCAAAAGAGGGGATAAATTCACTCTCAGAAATGGATTTGTTTGTTCTAAACTTTTTTCAGAAAATGATTATGAACGAGACCTTGAAAATAATTGTTAGGTAAAAACTTATTCTATTCATT